GTCCTTTTTTCCTTTTACCTTCATGCGAACCCAACTCGCGGGTTTGTGATGAACCCAGGCGCCTGAGTTCATTGCGAACCCAAGATGAACCTAGTTTGCGCGACTGGGTTCACAATGAACCCAACTCGTGTGATTGGGTTGGCAATGAACCCAGCTCGCGCTTGGGTTCGCGACATACCCAGACGTAAGCTGGGTTCTCAATCTCTGCCAAGTCGCGAACCCAGACGCAAGCTGAGTTCTCAATCACTGCCAAAAATAAGAAACATCCAACAACAGCTCTAGAAACATCCAATAACAGAAAGCCCAAGAGCAGCAAAAATTTCAAGAAATTGAAAATTGAGGATTTGAAATTCCAGCACTCATTGTCAATGGCCTAAACTAGAAAATCAAACCGATCACCTCCAGGCGACTGGGTTCATCATGAACCAACAAAACCTATTCAACTTCCTTCTTGGAAAAACCTCTTAAAAACAGTTAATTACACAATTGATCACAGAATCATTTAACCAAATCAATCCAATCTTACCAACTAACATTTTTCTGCGCTTGAAGTGTCGTCGCGAATCCACGCTCCTGGGTTCGTTGCGAACCCACGAGTAGGGTTCATCGCGACGAACCCACGAGTTGGGTTCATCGCGACGACCCCACGAGCAGGGTTCATCGCGACGAACCCACGAGTTGGGTTCATCGCGACGACGCCACGAGCTGGGTTCATCGCGACGACGCCACGAGCTGGGTTCATCGCGACGAACCCAGACTCCTGGGTTCGCCTAAAGGTAAGAAAAAAAAGAAAGAAAAAAAAAAAGAGAAAAAAGGCTGAAGGAAGGAGAGGATGGGGGAAGAAAATGAGGGTAAATTGGTAATTAAAGATAAAAAATTGGCCATGTCATCAAGTTTTGCTAAATGGATTTCACACGTAATTTAAGTAAAGAAAAAAAAAATTTTTTTCGTTAATTAACATGCCACGTAAGCCAAAATTTAACGGAGGGACCAAAAAGGGGTCGGATTTGTGAGCAGTAAGGATCAAAAAGGGGATTTTTTCGGTACAGGGACTAAAAAGGGGCTTTTTCCTATAGTAAAGGGACCAAAAAGGGTATTTAACCCTTTTTTTTTTTGTTTTTCAACGCCGTCCTTGTCAAACCATTCCAGCCATGGCCAATCAATGTCCTGCCTATGAGTTCCTCAAATCAAATTAACCCCTTTGGCATCAATTCAGCAATATTCAAAAGGAAATTGCTGAAATTATTAATGAAGATCCTTTCTGCCGCAACAACCAGATCCACATCATCTCCAACAATTCCATCAATTTGGGTCCAATCCTGAAGGAAACAACCACCGCACTCCTACGCCTCCACTACCCTCAACCAAGTAAGCATCTATTACCCTTTCAAGTCAAACCAGTTTGGAGTGAGTGGTCAGCACACATCATTGCATGGCCGATAGCAATTGAAGGCGAATGGCCAGCATGGGTAAAAAGGTTGGAACCTCACTTTGCAGATGTATGGAAAGCAACTGGAATTTTTGAATTTATTCATATGACCACAACTCAAGTGCCGATAAACAAAGCCATTCTAACAGCAGCTGTGTGTGTTTGGTCGTGCTCCTATAATTGCTTTCACTTCCCTTGTGGTGCTATGTCCATCTCTCTATTTGACATTTGTTCTCTAACCGATCTTCCCTGCATCGGAGAAGAGGTTTCTGCCTTGCTGCCAATTATTCTTGTAGAAGAATATGACCCCGATGATACCAAAACAACTTTCTTGAGTTTCCAAAAGAGAACATATTCCCTTTTTATTATGTTTAATCTGCAAGTTTATGGTTTGCCTTAGTGGAAGGTGTGTTGCCAAAGAGTTCATTCCTCTTGCTGTCGGTTTGGCACATGGTAAAAAATTTGCTCTTGCTCAATTTATGCTCGGCTATATATACCGTGGATATATGATGTCACCATCTTTCCATTTGAGAAATTCAGTGGTGCTCTTTGGGTCCTACAATTGTGGCTTTATTCTTATTTCCCAACTGTCGCCCCTGAATTTGAGAAAGTTGATGAGGAAGATTTGCTGACTTATGGCATGTGTGTCCAAGATGCAAAGAAGCTGCCATAAAGTTTTAAGACATACTTCAACTATTTTGCATCCCTCTCAATTGATCGGCCAAATGCAAAATTTGCAGTGTTTCTTGAAAGGAAGTATGGACCAAAATGGTATAAAGCAAATAGGAATAGTGAGGAATTCAAAGCTTGGTGGAAAGCTTACATCTCTCCAAGAGATTTATTCATAGGCTACAGCATTGGGGGGCCACAATCAAGGTGCAGCTTAGGGCTATACGCTTCTAATCAATTTTGTCGGCAACTTGGATATTGTTAGGACATCCCTACTCCACCTCAGTTTACCGAAAATGTTTGCTTTCCTTTGAGGTTCCTTTTTTCTGACATTGAATCAATATAAGGGCAAGTTGAACTTACCAGCACGTTCCTCCACTCAGTTGACTTTCAACCACCTCCACTTAGCCATCCCGACTGCATTAAAGCGTATAAGGACTGGTAGACATCACACTTCTCATCACGCTTTTGTGTTGTAATGAATTCCTTGGACCAATTTGCTCCCCTAGAAAATAACAAAAAGGAAGACAAAAGCCAAGTCAAAAATCCTCCACCCATTGGCAAAGCCAAGAATTCCTCAAATGACAAACCAAAAACGCAACCTGCTAAGAGAAAACGTCTTCTCCACAGATTTCTAATAAAGAGGATACGCCAAATAAAATTGCAAAAGATAAATTTTCGGCCTTCATTGTTTTGGTTCTTTCCTTGTATGAAACTAATCCAACTTTATGCAACGGCATCTATTCATAATTCCACTAAGCTTGTGGTCATAAAGGTCAGTCCTTGCTCAATGACCAAAGATAGTTGGTCTTCCCTTAAGGTTACAAGCAAGCTTTTCCAAACTATAGAATCACATGAGCAAGCCGACTTCACAAGAGAAGAACTATAGCCGGTCACCACCTCACCGCCAAAACCTATTGCTCCTGCACATGTAGATACACGTACTTTCTTCATGTTTCTTGCTGCCACTTAATTTAAAAAAAAAAATTCACATGGCTGCTTTATGGATTGTAGGCTGATTCACTCGTGATTGAGATAGATGATGATGTCCTTGAGAGTGAGGTTTTTGCTCAACTGGACCTCTTGGATGACTTCTTGGAAATAGAAAGGTCCATGCCTCCCGACTCAGAAGATAAGATCGTGGAAAAAGAAAAGAACATACGGATATCCCTTCTCAAGAATCCATCGATGCTGCCACCCACCTTCTTCTTGAGCTGTTGAATGGTAGGCCATTTGAACTTTGCCAAGTCGTTGATCAAAATGAGGCATTCAGTGCTGCTGAGGTCTTGAGCAAGGCTCCCACATTGGATGCATCAGTGTGTATGTTTTGGAGCAATTTCCCTACTGTTTACAAGAACTTTAGCCAACAGTTTATGAATGAGGAGAAAGTTGTGTCAGAAGCAGCTGCGGCTGTAGATCTTGCTCAACATTGGAAAGATGCAGTAGAGAAGAAAAAGAGTATTTATGAAGAGGTGAAAGATAGCATTAGCACCCAAATGAAGCTGTATCAAGACAACCTAGATGAGATTGCCAAACTAGAAGCCCGCCTTGCCGAATTGAAAAAGGCAACAACAAAGGAAGAAGACAACCTCAAATCCCTTCAACTTGAGAGAAGCAAATTACTAGTTGAGCTCAAGGAAGAAGGACGTGGAGCTTTGGCTACAAAGAGTGAGGCTGCACAATAGGAGGAGAAAGCAAAGGAAGCCAACAACACACTGCAGCAAATGAGAGATGAGTGGGCCACTTGGATGCAAAACCTTTGTTAGGTTTTTTTTTCTTTTTTTCAGCATCATTCATCCTTGTCGCGGCCATTAAGCTGCTTCAACATTTGTTTCCAAACTTCTTTTTATTTTTCTTCTTCTAATGATGAACATGAATTTATTTGCTTGCTTTATTCATGCTGCCCACGGCTTTGCAAACAAAGCCACTCTAAAACAAAAATGTAAGAACATGCCATGCCTCATTAGAAGCACCAAGTCTTATGTATGCTTCCATGGTTCAAGCCAAAACTCTACGTGTCCTTATTGAAAGAAAAACAACTTGAATCAAATAATATACAAATGTCTGCAAACTTGGATCATGCAGACGTGGAGGCAGAACTATCCCTTGCCTCCCACACAGTTGGATAATATGGTTTCAAGTAAATGCCATTGATCTTGCGTGGATGCAACTCCCCATTCAAAGATTTTAACCAATAAGCACCCCCTTTAAAAACTTTATGAATTTGGAATGGTCCTTCCCAATTAAGGGACCACTTACCATATTTGGGATCCTTTTTGCCAAGCACATTACAGCCTTCCAAACCAAGCTTCCTTCGGCTAAATTCTTTTGTTTGACCCTTCTGTTGTACGCTTGTGCCACTTTAAGCTTTTAAACTTTCATCACATCCAATGTTGTTAGCCTTGCTTCCTCAAGGTCTTCCAACTCCATGATCATGGCCTCATTGTATTCCCCAGAATTTAAGCCATTTTGAATTGCAATCCGCAGAGACCTTACTATTAATTCCATAGGTAAGACAACATCATGACCATAAGTAAGTGAGAAAGGGGTCACCTTAGTTGAACTTCGTTGTGAGGTTCTGTATGCCTAGAGAGTATCTAAAAGAAGCTCATGCCATCTCCTGGAATTATCATCAACCATTTTCTCCAGGATGTTGATGATAATCTTATTAGATGCCTCTGAATGACCATTTGCTTGTGCATAATACGGACTTAAATTAAGCAAACGAAATCCCATGTCTTTTGTAAAGGCCTCTGCTTGAGATCCAACAAAGGCAATACCTTGATCAGAAGTGATAGTTTTTGGAAGACCACACCTCTAGATCAGATCCTCTTTTATGAACTTGATGACATCTGCCTGCTCAACCTTCTTCATAAGCCTTGCCTCCACCCACTTAGTAAAGTAGTCTATAGCAACTATTATGAAAGAATGGCCTTTAGAAGAAGGTGGAGAAAATTTCCCAATCAAATCAATTGCCCAGCCACAAAAAGGCCATGGCTTGACAATAGGATGTAACTCAGAAGCTAGCGCTCGCTGCAAAGGACTATGCAATTGACAAGCTCTACAGCCCTTCGCATAATTGATGCAATCCTTAAGAATAGATGGCCAAAAGAAATCATGCCTTTGAATTAGCCATCTCATCTTAATCCATGCCTGATGAGCACCGCAAATACCATTATGAACATCTGACATCACATGGCAACTTTTATCAAGACCGAGGCAACGCAATAATAATTCATCCTGCCCCTTACGATACAAGACATCCCCGAGTAGCACATAGTTTAAAGCTTGCATCCTTGTTCTCCTTGATGTTTTAGAACTGGGATTCCTCAAATGTTTTATTATTGGATGCCTCGAGTCTGTAGGTGTGACATTTAGTGAGCATGCTTCCATCGTTATCCCTCTTTGATGAACTGAAGGCAGCATACGTTTTTCAATGACGATGACTTTCTTCAAGATGCCTTCAAGCATTTTTACACCTGAAGCAATTTGCGCAAGTTCATTTGCTTCAACATTCATCATGTGAGGAATATGCTTCAAGGAGAAATCATCAAATTCCTTCAATAATTGGAATGGTAGTGGCAAAATATGGAGACAAAACCAAGCTTGTACACTTGTATTCGCCACTCAATTGCTTGAGAACTAATTGAGAATCACCCACAATTTCGAATCACCCACAATTTCAACCGATGGCACCTTCGACTCTACCAACAACTCAAGGCCAATTACCAAAGCTTCATATTCTGCTTGGTTATTGGTGCATTCAAAATCCAACTGAAAACACCATTGGGTTTTTATGCAATCTGGAGAAACAATAATAATTCTAGCCCCGAAGGCTTGATCAGTGCTAAACCCATCAAAAATAAGCCTCTAAGGAACCAAGTCAATCGAAAAGAGATTGATTCCCTTGTCTTCATAATCGTTAACATTTACACAAGGATGATCTGCTAAAAAGTCTGCTAAAGCTTGTCCTTTAACGGCCTTTTGAGGCAAATATCTCAGATTAAATTCAATAAGTGCAAGAATCCACTTACCAATGCGGCCTCTTAAGAGTGGCCGCGACAGCATGTATTTTATGACATCAATTTTTGAAACAACAAACACCTCCGAATACAATAAATAATGCCTTAATTTATTGCTGCAAAGAACAAAGCCAAATACAATTTTTCAACCGAAAAATATTTCACTTCGGTCGAATTCAAAGCTCTACTCAAATAATAAACAGCTTGTTCTTATTTATTATTGTTCTCTTGCGCAGTAGACAGCCAATTGACTCATTTGCGGTGGATATATACAGCAATAAGGGTTTATTCTTAACTATAGGAACCAACACAGGTGGCTTGGACAAGTATTCCTTGATGGCATCAAAGGTGGCTTGGTGCTGCCTCTCCCTTTTAAAATTTGCATCTAGCTACAACTTCAAAAAAGATGAAAAGACATGAGTTTTGCCCGCCAAATTGGAGATAAACCTCTTTAGGAAATTAACCTGACCAAAAAACCTTTGTAATTCCTTTTTATTTTGTAGTGGCCGCGCTTCAATTACAGCCCTTGCTTTGTTTTCGTCCACCTTTAGTCCTCATTCATGGACTAGAAAACCCAAAAAGTTCCCTGCTGTAACACCAAAAGCACACTTGAGAGGATTCATCTTCAAACCATGCTATCACATCCTTTCAAAAGCTTTCCTCAAGTGCTCCAAATGTTCTTCATCCTCCATGGATTTGACAACAACATCATCGATATAAATCTCCATGAAGCGGCCAATCATATCATGGAAAATTGCATTCATGACCCGCTGATATGTAGCTCTTGCATTTTTCAACACAAACGGCATCACAACCCATTCATACATACCTATGTTTCTAAGGCAACAAAATGACGTTTTACTTATGTCTTCCTCTGCAATAAAGAACTTATTATAGCCACTATGCCCATCCATAAAAGATAAAATGCAATGGCATGCAACTCCATCAACAAGTAAATTTGCTACTTGCATGGGGTATTCATCCTTTGGTGTGCCTATATTTAAGTTTCGAAAGTCAATGCAAATTCTGAGCTTTCCATTCTTTTTCACTACTGGAACAATATTAGACAACCATTTTGAGTACTTGGCTGTCCGTATAAAACCAACTTTATACAGCCACTCCACTTCTTCCTTCACCTTCAAAATCACTTCTGGAGACATACGGCGTGGCGGCAATTTATACGGCTTGGCGGCAATTTATACGGCTTATATCCTTTGTTGATTGGTAGTCTATGGTTTACCAACTCTCGGTCTAAACATGGCATCTCAGAATAATCCCAAGCAAAGCAGTCTTTGAATTCATGTAGTAAACATATTATTTTATCACACATCTCTGGTGGCAACAAGCCACTAATAAAAGTAATGTGTGGCTCTACCTTCGTTCCTAGATTAACTTCCTTCAATGGATCTTGTACATCAGCCTTAAGGTCATCCAGCTTCACAAGGGCCAAATCTAGCTCTTCCATTGTGACTCCGTCGGTATGGGTGTTCGCTTCACCTTCATGTACCACCTCTAACAGATTTGCTTCTATATTTCTTTCAGCAAAATAGGCCGCTAATGTCTTTAGAATTTCAGATACGGCCTCCCTTCTTTCTCTGTTTATCCTAGACCTCTTCATAATAACTACTCAATTTTGGGCTCCTCTTGCGGCTTATATGGAATAATGGCAGTAGGCCGCAAGAGTTCATTACATACCTCATCAACCACATACTTAGCCAAAGTAGGCTTGTTAGTGATTCCACAAGGTCTTCCTTGTCTATCTATGCTGAAGAAACGGATGGTTCCTACGTCTTCATCATAGTACCGTGCTTCCACCATATTGGAATTGGCTAAGAATGGTCTGTTGTCAGCATAGACCACCTCAGTTTTGCCTCCATTCCAAAAAATGAGTCTTTGATGGAGTAAATGGAACACACCAATTCGAATGGATCCAATCACGTCCTAGTAATGCATTATAAGTTGCAGAAGAGTCTACAACAAAGAAAGCACTCACTAATGTCTTGTTGCCAACAGTAAGTGCAACCAGCAACACTCCTTTTGATTTGCTAATACCACCTGTAAAATCACTGATGGTTATGTCAGTATAAACCAAGTCCTCAGAATTTTTACCCAAATTCCTCAATATAAAAGAAGGTATGACATTAACTGCTGCTCCATTGTCAACAAGGACTCGATTCACTGGAACTCCATCCATGTGAGCTGAAATGTAGAGTGGCTTTATATGACGAGTCACACTTTCATTTGATTTGTTAAAGATAATTTGTTCTGAGAAGATATCATGCTCCTCTTCCTCTTCATGGGCTGGAACCTCTATTACTTCTTCTTCAACAACCATGCTGCCCTTGGAAACATGGGTAGGAACATGGGTACTCTCGCTGCCCTTGGCTTGAAAAACCAAAGAAAGTGTGAGAACCAAACAACAGAGATTAATAGAGATGCTGCCGATCTACAGAACATCCATGTCCTTAAATAGATTATCATCACTAGTCAACTTTGTTTGCTGATCTGCTTCAAAGGTTGCCTTCAACTCATTTTCATTAACGATCAGTGAGGTGAGCTTAGGAGGTGGCACTTCTGGCTGAGATTCATTCTGGACAGCAACCTCTTGACTCTCCTTTCTCTTCCACACCATCCTTCCCTTTGTAGGAGAATGTTGTGGAACCCTAACTTCCTCAATAGTTAATTATTGACGACGACGTGCCTCTGCTCACTTCCGCTGCAACCTTTTTCTCAAAGTTCTAGGATTTTTCACAGGTTCTTTTGGAAACTTGGGATGCACGACCTTTTCCCACCTTTTACTTGGAGGTCGCTATGGAGGCTTAACTATACAAGAGCGAACTGTATACCGAGCCTCCTTCATCTTGGATCCGGATGCATAGATTCTGGCAACATGGCGTTGCGCTCCGAGCCTCTGATTCTGTTGGGCACGACGTTCCCTTTCCTTCTCAATCACCCAACGAAGGTCACCTGCAGCCAAAGTTGGTCACCTGCAGCCAAAGTTCGCCCTTTATACATTCTTCCAAAGATGGTTCTTATGTCAACAACATTAACCCCAACATCTATAATTGGGAAAGGATTCTCGTCAACCCCTATGGCTTCCTTAGGTTTTTCAGGGAAACGAAGCAGCCCTTTGTCAATCTTATCCGCAACACATTCCAAAAGATAAGACAGTCATTAGTAGAGTGTTTCCAGGAGTTATGAAACTTACAGTAATCTTTGGATGCAATTTCAGCAACTGTCAAGACCCTATGCCCCTGCGGCAGCTTAATATGTCCTGACTTTTTTAGATAACCAAAGATTTCATTTGCTTTAGTCATATCAAATGTGTATTGTCTCCCAGATTCATACGGGAGACACTTTGCAGCCGCCTCAACCTGTTGAGTGACTTTCACTAGATTAGGACAAGTTACTAGCTTGTCTGCACAGACCTCGACAACATCAAGGTCAAAAGCATCCTGATAATAAGTTCCTTGTGATGTTGCCTTTCTTTGGGACTCTTCTCTTAAAAGGTCTCATAACGTGCCACCTTATAAGAAAGCTCAAGAAGTCTCTGAATTCCATCCCCTCAAACTTCTTTCAAAGTTCAATGTCTAAACCATTTTGAGCAAGCTTCACGAACTCTTGCTCTGATAAGGTAACATGACATTTCATCCTGGCATTTCTAAACCACATAAGATAATTTTCAAAAAATTCCCCTGGCCGTTAGGTTAGTCTAAAAAGATCAGCCATGGATATCTCAGGCTTTGAGTGGTAGAATTGAATATGAAACAAATCTTCCATTTGTCTCTAGGTAAACACAGATTTTGCGGCAGACTTAGGTACCATGTCAGTGCAGTACTCGTTAAAGAACTTGGGAAGAGTCTTAACTTCAAAAAATCATCACCCGATGCTTCCCCACATTGAATAGTGAACCTACCAATGTGTTCAATGGTTGATTGACTCGCGTCCCCAAAAAACAAGGTAAATTCAGGCACTTTAAATCCACAAGGAAATGGATTATCCCGATCTATGTAATCTGGATACGACTTGTGATAGGATAACCAATGGTCTTAAAGTTGGACCATATGTCTCATGGACTAGATCAATCAGTTGATTTTTATCTAAGGGAAGGGGTGCTGCTTGCAACCCTAATGGTTGAAAGGCATTATTCAGAAAGTTGGGCTGTGGGGCTACATTTATATGGCGTGCAAGAGGTACATATCTTTGTTGATTGGCATTGAGTTGCTCAACTGCATGGAATGTTGCTTCCACAGGATCTTATGGTCTAAGGATGCCGCCAGCAGGATTGTTTGGTGCTGCCTATTGAACTGCATCTGGACTGCACCAAGAGCATTATTTTGAGCATTGGGCATCTGTTGCACCACCTATGGCTGATTAATATGCTCCCCATACCCCTCGGGCAAAGGATCTAGAAGATTTTGCTACGACAATTCCGCTACGACAATTCCATTGCTGGAGGTACGGGTTGCCTTGGAACATTTTGTTGTTGTCGAACATGTTCTATGCTTCTCTCAGAAATTGCAGTGAAGGTTCTACGACTTTCTACTACTTCTTCTCGAATAGTTCGAGAATTTTCATTAATGGCCCTTTCAATAATATTTAGATATTGAGTGAAATGATCTGAATGTTGTCGTTGGGCTTGTAGAAAGCTTTCTAGACTACGCTATATGTTCTGATTGGCTTCTTCTTGCAGCTTCCTTATCTGCTAAAGTTCTTGAGATATTTTGTTGCTTGACTCAGCAGAATCAACTTTCTCCTCATCATCATTGTGATATATGGGATTGCCATATGAGTGATCAGCCAAGGGAGAAATAAGTGGAAGATGCTTTGGACTGTTTTCACCTTCAAAATGTCTTGGACTCACAAGAGCCACTTCCACTTGTTGTGCAACTTCTTTTCCAACTCTCCTAGGCATGGCTATGGCTGCTTTATGCCTAGGAAATGCAAAAAGAGGATAAAAAAACTTTTCTTGATAAACGATCGCCAGCAGGAGGTCCCATCAAGCGTGCCAAAAAGAGATTGCTATCCCAAAAAATCTCCTTGACACGTCGCAGATGAAATGGCGTGCCACTTGCTTTGCCTAAAACAAGAAAGATTTCTCTGATGACCCTTTTTTCTTTCCAAGCGTGGAACTCAGCTTGTGAGTTGATGGAAGAATGTCATAAATTACGCCTTAAAGATCAGACGATTGGCAAAAACGAGGGATGAACTTCCTGCACTAAATGGGTTATACGACAAAATGCCCTGGCTATGATTCCAAGGACTCCTCAAAGCTAATGTAATCAAGAAAAGTTAAGACTACAAGGAAAATAAATGATCACTAAACTACTGAAAATCTAAATGAACTTTAAATACGCAAACTGGATTGAAATAGAGCTTTAAAAGAAAATTTAATTGCAGCAAAAGTAAATTAAGTTAAAGTAAATAAAATTGGAAACAAGGAAAACTTACTGGCAGCATGAAATATAAATTAACAGAAATGGAATTGAACATGAAATTAAATGTCAACATCATTTGATTTAATTAAAGGAAACTTGGAAAATAGAAAAGGAAGGGAAGCAATCCAATCACAAAGAAATACTACTGAAGGCAATGAAACTCACCATTACAAATCTGACAAAAGGAGAACTGAATTGCTAAATTAATCTAAGCTGAAGTGTAGAGCTAAAACTACACTAAAAGACTTGAAACTAAGATGATTCTGAGCATAAAGAGAAATTGTGCTAAAAGTTTGTTGTGTGAGATGTCGATCCTTTGCTTGCTCTTATCATTAGGTATTTATAACACCTTGGCAGCATAGTGGAGATCTACGGCAGCATCCTGAAAAACCAACGGTAGCGTGATATCTGCAACAAACTGATTAATTTGTTGGTGCTGCAATTATCCTCCTGGAAGCACACAACAAGAGAACGGTTTTGTTGCTGTTGTGGAAATAACCACTCAATCTCATCTGAAGAGATTCACACCAACTTTCAACTAATAAAATATCTGCCATCATTGGTGAAATGTGGCAGCACTCTATTTATTGTAAAATTAGGTGTAAACACAATCTAATATGGTTTAAACTAAAAAATAGGTTCAATAAAGAAAGTGTAGATTTTTGGATTCCATGCCTTCCTGTCATTTTTTTCTTATAAATAAATTAATTAAGAATTAAAATTTTCCTTTCAAGTAATCTTAAGAGTGCAACTCCATATTTATATGATATTTTTATGATATTTTTAAGGAAATTAATTATGCATAGACATTCTCAAACTTCCTTTTTCTTAGTATAAATAAAATTGAGTGAAATTTCCTAATTGAAACTGACATCTAATCTTTTAAGTGCACTAGCTGAGAAAGTAGGGATAAACAATAGTGCAACATGTAGAACCTTCCTTGGAAGATAGGTTCTTGATTACTCTAATCACAAGTTGATTATCAAAAGTTAATCATGATTAAGATTTCGAACTCACTGAAGAAAGAAAAAGAAAGTGGTAGGGATGAAGGGATCTATAAACTACCAAGCGACT